AACCCTGTGCTGGTACCGAACTCGTACCAAGAAGGCGAATTCACCAATGAACGCTGCCCTTTCCATCTGACACTGGGCGATCACGTGAATATCACGCTTCGGTTTTGTTTTGTTTTACTCTATCTTGGATTTGGATAGACTTTAGAGGTAAACTGGTGAATCATTGATATGAATTAGAAATAATTTGGGATCCATAAATGATCCTTGAGGAACTCCATGTCTAACAGTCATTGTATATGATAGGATTGAGTAGAAATATACATACTGATGATCTGATGAATGAGATTTTAACAAATGTTGTCTGTCTGAAGCAAAAATGTATACTAACAGTTTCTGTAATAATAGAGTATAGAGCAGTATATTTATTTAATGAAAAATGCATTCATTCAGTAACACAATAGGACAAAAGTCATTTCAACGATGATTATTCGTGTACACGTTTTCCCAAAAAATGTAAATTTTTCTTAAGAATTAGGTTATGTCATTTAACTTACGGTGTATCATCATCCTCGTCGATGGGTTCCGACTCTGCCTGTATACTTTCCATGGCAGTAGAATGGGCCACCAGTCTCTGTCTGTTTATTGATTTACTCCTGTTCAATATGGCTGCCGCGCCTATTCTGTCTTCTTTTTCTCTCTCCCTTTCTTCTGTAAGCATAGCTGCACTCATATCTCCTGCTTCTCCTTCTTCGGGTAGTTTCTCCAATTGGGTTTGAGATTTCATCTCCTGCGAGAACATTTTTATAGAATGCAATCATTATTCATACAATAATAAATGTCAAAATTAAGTTTCTGAGAGTTTCTAACACATAAGTGGAAAAACAGAAAAATTACCAATAATTTTTTCATTTTTGCTAAAAGCTTTGAAAAGGTTATTTTACTCCAATTCATTAATTCTTGTGCCTTTCCAATTCTATGGTGAATGAATATTTCTCTATACAGGGTGTAACTAAATAAGTGTAAAACATTTAAGGAGGTGATTCCTCATTGAAAAAAAAGATAGGATCATTCATATAAAGAAATTTCATTGGAGCATCCCTTGTTAAGATACAGCTCCTTAAAGAGGGTACATAAAATTTGTATAACAATTTTTT